ATACACACATACACACACACATACACACATACACACATACACACATACACACATACACACATACACACATACACACATACAGACACACTAACTGCAAAGACTCCCATTTTGTGCTTCGCACATGGGAGTCAAAAACGACAAATCACAGTTACTAAATAAATGACAGCCGCGTGGAAATAAATTGACATTTTGTTGAAATAGGTGAATCCCTCGGGTCACGGCGAGGGCAAGTGCGTTAAAAGCGGCGTTTAATTGGATAACAAAAGTAATCGAGATCGACACACATACAGATAAATTCAGAGTGGATTCGAGTTAGCGTGATCCATGGCGTGATTGTCATAATTATAACATCGTATTAAAACTTTATTTGGTGAAATACATTGACCAAGCCTGGATTCTTATTTCATAAATTATTACGCAGATCAAGCTGCAAGCATGGAGGTAAAAAAGAACAGAGGTGTGAATTCGACATTCAACACCAATCACCAAACAATTCAGAAACTTTTAGCCTTCGAAAATGAAAACAGTTAGCAGTGTGTAAGGGCTGTGTAATTTCCTGTTTGTCCGGCGCTTCGTTTTCGTGTCACTGTCAAAATTATTGCTACCTTTTACTTAACAGGAACTATAAAATGGTCTCTATAAAACGATAACCAGGATTGCAAAAAAAGTCAACTGATTTGAAACACTTGCCGGACGTTTCACGATAGGTGGGCGTGGCTACAACACGAGAAATATCCCAAATTTACTTGGATACGAGTAATCATTTTCAGCAAAAAAATCAATAACTACCCTTTTCAGTGGGACACAGATCTAAAATGGGAAACGTGAGGGTGGGCATTGCACAGGCACTTTAAGTAGTTTTCCAAAATGAAGTTTGTTTTAAATTTTTTGTAAGTCCTCAGTTTGTTTTTTGTATTAGTGTTTTGTCTGTTATCATCATTAATTGAGTTAATCCAATGCTTTATAAATACATTTTTTATTTTATCATATATCCGTGACATTTGTGACGATTTTAGCTCATTATTGTCAATATCTGATAGTGTTGTATTTGTAGATTTCAGTACTGAGTTAAGTTCATTGTACCACTTACTTTTTTATAGTCTTGTTAAGTAGGAAGGCTTCCTTAATAATGGGGTTTTGAATTTTGTTTTGTTTTGCAGACGCAATGTAAATTTAGTACCCCCTAGAGCAGACATATTGAAAAAAAAACACCCCCTATTGCAGACAAATAGATGCATACAGTGGATATAAAAATACTCTTAAAACTAGCTTTACTTTTATCAACGTACTGATGTTATCATGGTGCACATATAGTTACAGCGGTGATAACCAAATGTAATACTGCCTAAAACAAAACTGAAGTGTACCTGTTTGTATTCTGTGATACCATACAAACCGGGAAATCATACGAGCGGCGAGAACAGAAGATCGTTGCTGATCGTTATAGCGCCCTCTCCTGGTAGCAAACCTCGCATTTTGTCGGTAGGATTCGTCAAGCAATCGGGACACCGCTCCCTTATATGGAAGTAATTTGAATAAATTAATATGTAGATAGTCAGGGTTGTCATCAACAAAGCCGTGTTCCTGGCAACAAACTTGTTCGTCGAGTGTGGAGTCTTGGCAGGGCTAAACTTCGTCAACATAGCTTATTTTGGTCGTTTTCAAGTCTCATCTGGAATTTATTTGTTCTCTGTGCTATAAAAGGCTGACAGAATGTCGGCGGAACTTATCAGACATGGACGAAGAAGCGGACAGTCGAGGAGAGGTTAGTTTAGAACGGGAAGCCACGTAATATCGTCTGTGAAGTCCATGTACGACCTCGTTTCTCTAAAATGGCTCTTCGTCTCGTCTAAAATACGATAATATTCAGTTTTACAGCCAGTAACATGCGGCAACATCACATGCTACAGAATCGAGGAGAACCATGATGTTCACAACAAACCAGTGTGTGGGAGATCATCTTCCACCAAGCCAATATCTTGCTTATGAAATTTGACCTGTCGAGACTATAATAACATTTAAAGGGACGAGTTTAAATTTTGCCCTTTTTGTAGATTTGCCAAAATCTAATTAAATTTCAAAATCTTTCGTATACGACCAAACAAAATCAAAAACAATATTGCACTTCAAATTTTTGGTGTTAAAAAATCACTGCATTAGGGCTGGGTGGGCTTTTTAACATACCAGTATTTAATGTTCTTATGATTGCTTCAAATGATGGCAGACAACAAAAACATTTGTGTGAATATTTCAACACCTAAACAATATTTCAATTCACATGTTTTGTGTTAAAAAATAATGTATAGGTCATGTTCTTATGATGGCAGACAACAAAATTATGTAAATGTTTGAAGTACATGTAACTACAGAGCATTGCTGTATCTTTATATATACCATATTTTTTGTTGTTGCCATTCTACCTTTTGCTAAAACAGAGATGTGATTCCCAGTTGAAATACAACCATTTCAGATAACCCATGGATGTGGTTTACCTATGATTAATTTATACACTTACAAACCATCTTACCAATCAAATCGACTGCATACTAGTATTTGATGATAGGGTACCTCAAATTGTATATTGAAACACACTCCGAAAGTGGCTGACATCAGAGACAAATCATCACAATTTTAATCTACTGATACATTTAAAAATTATGTCTAAAATTTATCACATGTATCCAATGATCTGTAATCTGAAATGGTTGTTGGTTGATTGTAAATAATTTTTTATAAACCTATTCTAATTCATGCATTATTAACTGTCATGGTTATGTACTGTTTAATAGATTCTGGATCAAAGAGTGCTGAACTTCCCAGACAACAACTTTCACCGCCACAGCAGGGACCAAGAGGAATGATGCTACCGGATGGTACTGACTTGAGACAGGTCACTGTATTATCCAAAACAGACTGGCAACGGATCCAGGATCAGTTGTCCAAAAGTAGCAGAGAGGAACAGAGAATGAGAGCACAGAGAGAGCAAGAGCTAGCCTTACATGAAAGATCAAAGGAAGTTGTTAAAAACTGGAGTAACACCATAGCTGTAAGTTCATCTATTTATTCCTCTGCTCCTCAACAGCATAATACTTGGGACATGAAAGCAGTCCATAGATAGACAACTTCAAGGGACCTTTTGAACTTTGGTATTTTGAACACCAGTGCTCAGATATTGGTAGCCATATTGGTGTTTTTTAACATTGCCTGTATGTGTAACATTGTAGAACACTGCGAGGTAGAGCACTGTAATGATATTGCATAAAAGTAATTATGGCTATCATAAATCTCCAGGCACAGTAAATTAAAATTGCACTTACCGTAAGAGGGTTGTTGTCAAATTGTCATGTTCACAAAAAAAAATGAAAGTAAATTGTAGCCACAGACATTCCCTTACATAATAACTTTGAATTTGTTATGGATGTTGTGGGTACTGATTTCTGAGTGTATGTTATATTATATCCAAACATAAATGCATTTAATTTTATTTCTTACCCAGTAATAGACAACTCCATTCATCCTGTAACTGAAAATGTGATTACAAAAATCAAAATATTCACAAAATACTCCTAAACCCACCACCTCTCCAAAAATAATAACTAGGTGAAGTTTGACTAGCTACTTGCTATAAATTAATAACAATGCCTGATATATTGCTGTTTGCTTGTATTATTACATTTCACAATAATAACAATCAGCTATAACTATTACAGGGACAACGTCTAAAAAAGTTGGAAGCTCGTAAAATACGCGAGGAGAAAGAAGAGGAAGAGAAAGTACAGCTGGATATTGAAGAAGCTAAATTTCAATCCGAAAAAAGGAAAATCGCCATAGACAAAGCAAAAACCCAGCAATATTATCAAACAGATAGGGTGAAAGGTTTTCATGTAAGTATGTCATGTCATCATTTTGCTGCCAAACATAACCAGCATTTTACCAAATAATTCCTATATGCTATTCTACCTTCTAGTATTTTTGTGACTGTTCTTTTCATTTTTGATAACCAGGGGGCTTTGCTCCTAACTGAAGTTTTGAAAGAACGAGAAGCTCAGATAGAATTCAGGAAAGCCAGGGAAAGAGCCAGCGCTGGTAAAGACAGGGATATCTACATGAGATATCAAAGAGAAGTTGAAATGGGTATTCTAGAAGATCAGGCTAAAGCTAGAACTGCTATGGAGGAAAGAAGAAAATGCAAAGAATTCCAACTCCATCAGTAAGTTTAATTTTCTGATATTTTCACGAGAAATTCATGTAAAATTGTCAGTGATACCAATCTTTTTTCTGACACAGTAATCAATTTTCACATTGAAAAATGCATCATTTGAATGAAATGTCGAATTAATGGTATTCAGGTAATAACACTGAGAAATAAGACACATTTTTGTAGCTTGACAGTTTCTAAAGAAAATCCCTTGTTTTATTTCAGAATTAATGATCATCTGAAAAAGGAAGATTTAGCAAAACTTACTGATGTACGAGAGGGAGAGGAGATCAAAAGAAACACAGAACGATATGAAGCTGAAAAACGAAGAATTGAGGAAATTAAACGCAAAGAAAGGGAAGATATAATGAAAGCACATTTACAGACTGTAAAGGACAGAGATCTCATCAGAGCTGCAGAAAGACAAAAGGAAGAGGAGGAGGAAGAGGAAATAAGAATCTTTGCAGCAGCCAAGAGAAAGATGGGAAAACTGAGAAAAACTAAAGAAAAGGAACTGTGGCTGTAAGTACATCAGGCAAACTGTGAATCTATCTTTTAAACTGTAATTAAAGACAAGATATATTTTACATTAATCTATACTGTGAGGCATGGTATAAATGCTACGCCAGCTAACAACATTTCAATGCAATGGGCATTCATTGTTGAGTATGTTATTACTCAATGGTACATACTATTAAGCATACTGTTACGGATGCACTGAAAGATGAATGCGTATTACAAATGTATTAAATGTTTTTGTCTTTATTCCAAATTCTTTACCTCTTTTCCAGAAAAAAACAAGACCACACTAACAAAATGGTGGAACTGCTCCATGGGCAGCTGAAGCAGAAGGTTGATAATGAAGATGAAAGAATTATAAAAGCAGTCGGTGAAAGAGAAAGAATTGAGGAGATGGAGGACAAAGCAAAAGAAGAAAAGCTACATAAAACGCTGCAATCGATTGCGGAACACAGAACCACCCAGATGAAACTAGCTGAGAAGCAAGAAAGGGAGAATAAACGTAAAGAAACAGAGAATTTACTACTGAGAGTGGAAGCTGATCGCATCTTCCAGAGTCAACAGGAGGAAAAAATGAGAGCCGCTAAAGCTGAGGCACAAGCGTTGCAGGGTTTCCACAACAAGCAGATTGATGAGAATATTGGTGGAATTAGAAAAGAACAACAAGATCAGTTAGAACATGATCAACGCAACTTAGAACTCTTGAAATTAGAGGAGGATCAATTCCAAGAGTATGCTGCTAAAGTGATTACTCATTGCCACAAGAATGGCCGTAATGTGTATCCCCTTGTCAAAGCCGCACGTGAAGGACATGGTGGTGGGATGGGACCAGTATTTGAAGGGAAAGGTGGTATTAGACCAAGTTATCTTGTACAAGACGCCACAGGTGTAGAGTTGCCAACTTATCAGAAAGATAGTACAACTGATGTTAAAAGTGGTCAAAATTCAGGAGATTCCCGAAAAAGACTAGGATTTGTTTGGTAGATTGCATTTTTTAAAATTAATATTGTATATAAAATTAAATTGATACCAGAAAAATAAATATTTGGCTTGTCAACTTCATTATTTTACGTTTTTTTTGTTGTTGAAAATTGTAAATACAATTATACATTTTGTTCCAAATAGCATATTGTTATGCGATATGTCGAGAGCCGTTTTCTTATTGCAAGGATTTCTTCATTTCCAGAAATGACATGTGTACAGTTATAAAGATCTTAACTTGTAAAAAAAAATAAAACTTTCGATGATTGTTTAATACTTCACGACTTTTATTATAACTGATATTTGCTGAGTGGGATACTGCCCTCTAGAGTTGAGTTTCCCAGGTGTTCAATTGCTTTTAAAATAGTTTTTATCTTATCATCTTTATACTATCTATGAGGATATTTTTTAGAATACCAAAAATTATACATTGACCAAACATTAGTGATCAAATGATACATAGCTTATGACATTGATTCAGTCCTGTATTGCGAGTGCATACTGAGCAATATTTTTGTGATAACTTTGTAATTTCTCCCTCCATCTGTATCTCGAGCAGTGCCACCAAGTCTAGAACAAAACAAATGCCAACATGCTTTGCAAAATTGTGAGCTCTCTTGTTAACTGACTGTCTGAATAATTCTCAGAGCTGCTGTAAATGGTT